ATCTGTTATGGTGAGAGAGAAAAAAGAAACAAATTTCTTGACATACATTTTAATATTAATGAAATGATAAAGCATTTGATAGTATGATTAATAGACAGAAAGAATAAATAGTGAAAATTTGTCCACATTTTTATTAAAAGATGACCTAGCTTATAAAAAAAAATTATCTTTTGATTGATTTATTTTCTACGGCTTGCAGGTAATTTATAGCTAGAAAATATTTTTTTAAATTGTAAGAATTTTTTTTTGTTTTGGAGATAATGGTTTAGTGTTACAAGTATTACTAATTAACCTAAAGCTGGGGAGAGAACAGGCGGATTCACATCTTTCCCAAAGGTATGTGTGCATAAGTAATTATAGTGAACTTAACAGAAATGGGAACTCAGCTCACAGATTAACAATTCCAAGCCATTATCCATTACACCACCTGCACATCCAAGTTTACAGTACCTGGTATTCCCAAACTGTTGCTCATTTAGGTACTGAACAAGCACAACATTGCTTAACTTCAGTGATTATACACTTTATCACAAATTTTATACTGAATATTGTTTGGCAATTAAAATAAGAAAAGTGATACAAAAATGAAAAGTAATTTCCAATGAGATTTCAACTGGCTCTCGATATCCATTTAGCTAACCTTTCAGAGCTTGTTGAAATTTGCTCAATATCAACCTATAAAATTGTGAAGATACTAGTTAAAAATTAAAAGTGAACCTAATTTTAGTATTAGAATAATAAAATATTTAAGAATTTTATTCAACAATTATGGCATTTTGAAATCTAATGCTTTCTTTATTAACTTGCCTCTTCTGTTACATCAGATTTTCATTTTACAGTCAAAAAAAATTAATTTTCAAATTATCATACAACAGGAAAATGAAAATGTTTCCCAAAATCTGTTTCCTCAGTTTCTCTTCTATGTGGCAAAGAGTGGATGATCAAGGCTCTCCACAACTTCCTATGCTTTGTAGCTCTGAGCAATATGTGCCTTTTACTTTTAGATATGGCACACGGAACTAGAACAGTCTACCCCAGTGAGCAAAATAAAGGGTTCAGTTCGACATTCCAGCCACCTAAAGAAGGTTTGTGTGTACAATGGCCAAAACGTTGTAATAAATACGGTGACAAAGATGAGGACAATAGTCCGAATAATGTAAGTAGTGTACTGTATTTTAATTCATAAAAAACTAGATACCATAGTGTAAAGTTCTGATGAGAAGTAGTAGAGCTATTTTTTTTTATTTTTTTTTAATGATTTTTTTTCTTTCTCTTAACTTTTATTTAGAGGAAGTAAAATTTTCACAGCAGAAATTTACAAGTGCTTTCAAGGTTGTGCTTGAATTTCTTTAATTACAATTCTAGCAATTCTGCAAATATTTTGAATGTTATTTAATTTTGGCTATGAAGTAGGATCCAATATAGTATAAGTATTAAATTTTTTTAGAACCAACTTTGCTAATGCCGTGTTTGGACAGGACCTAATCATGAAATCAAACTTCAGAAATTTGATTCAAATTTTAAATCTTGCTTGACACTTACAGTTTCTTCATTTTTTTTTTCCTTCTGTTTTGGCATTTTTGAAACCTTTTCTAATGAATTCAAGAGGTTGAAGTTCTCCAAGGAATTATATATCTACATTGAAAATCTCATACAAACGATTTTTTTCTTTTATATAGCATGTCCTTTTAGGATATAAATGATCATGGCTCTCTACAATTTCATGTTTTTCAAAATAACATTTGCCACTTTACCATCCTTTGTCCCACACTGTCAGCTGGGGCTATAGAATACCCCGACTGCACCTCTGCAGTGGGGTAAGACTCCCCCCCCCCCAATGGGGCATCCTAGGTATGATGATAAACTACATCCACATCCTGGGTGGGTCGATGGACTATGTCCGGCAGCAGGGCCTCAGATCAGGAGGTTTTGAGGACTGTGGAACCACCTCTAGATTGCTGGTGTTCCCAGGTCTACCCTGACGCAGGGTGGTGGCACCTGTTGGGGTCCTAGATGTGGGCAGGTGGTTGACCCCAAAAGTGGGGTAGAAGCACTGTGAAGGTGTAGGAATAGGTTTTAATACCAGAAGTACTTTGTAAAAAATTATTATCAGCAATAAATTTTTGAAGAAAAAAAACTATTACCAGCAATACATTTTTGAAAAAAAATAAAATATTACCAACAATACACTTTGAAAAATAAAAAAAATATTACCAACAATATGCATTTGAAAAAAAAAAAAAAAAAAATTACCACCAATGTTTTTGAAAAAAGAAAAAAAAATATTACCAGCAATACTTTTTTGAAAAAAAATATTACCAGCAATACATTTTTGAAGGAAAAAATTATTACTAGAAATAGATTTTTGACAAAACATTACAAGCAATAAAAATTTTGTCAGCATTAAATAACCTACTGAGGTTGATATGCCGTAAAACACAACAAACCAAACCAAACCATCCTTTGTCCTTTCATCCATTCACATAACTTTATAAGTAACTTAGTATTTCATTTCTGAGATGAGTAATTGTTAGTATCCTTGTATTATTTTGAACTTGCTCTTATCTCGGTTGATATAGATGTTACTATAGACACAATATTTTGACCAAGATAACAGTAGCATGTATAACCAACACTTATATTCAATACATCACTGTTCTGTGTTGTCTAAGTCAGGAGTTCAATCCTTAAATCAGGTAGTGAAGCAACAATTCAGCAGGAATGAACAATAACTGACATCACAGGGACAAAATATCACAATAATCAACAGATATTCCATATCAGACAATCAGCAGACAACTGATGATGACCAGAGTGTACTTGGTTGAAGTGTTATGTTTATAACATCTATATTAGCCAAAATGAGGACAATAATTCAAAATAATACAAGAATATTATAAGTAGCTTACCATTTTTTTTTGCTTCTCTTACCTACACTATACTCTGTGAATGTTAAATTCTCCATGCCCTCTTTCCTCAGGTGTTCCTAAAAGTTCAGTTGTCTTTTTCTGATTTCAAGTATAAGTTTCCTAGCAGTTCTTATTTTCCTTAAAAGTTCTTTGTTGCTCTAATATGACCAAATGAATATATTCAGATAATTTATATGATTAATATGAAGATATTTTGATAAAAGCATTTATTTTATTATTTTCTCTACTTTTCCACCCTAAAGAAAAAAATTAGAACTAATCATATATATTCTGAGTCTTATGTTTGAAGTTGACATATCTGAGAGGCTACCAGTACTTGTTCCGAGCAAAACTGTAATATCAGAAATAAATGGATCTTGCTTGAGATATATTTACAAACAAATTAAAATGTTGAAAAAAAGAAGACTTGTTGACAAACGGATATGAATTTTAATACAAGCCAACAGGATCCTAAAAGACAACCTTGTTTTTAAACTGAAAATTTAAGATCTTACAGTTATTAATTAAAAGATGATATGATAGTCTTATTTCTAATGTGACAATTGTAATGTTCCAAATAACTACATCCTGAATTTGATTTGCATAAAAGATGTTGTTGCTTAAATCAAACCAGAAAAGCAATGAATAAAGTGATTTTACATATGCTTTAAGAGTAATTCTGTGATTGAAAAGAACTGATACTACAATTTGATGTTTTTGATAAAAGGAAAAGTAGGATTTTCATTTAATGATACAAAATCTATCTCACAAGAAAGGTGCCTCAACATGAAGTAATGGTTAGTGAGGCTAGTTGTTCTCTCTCTCACACACACACACACACACTCACTCACACACACACACACACACACACACACACAAGACTCTCCCTTATTTTGAAAACAAAGTTGTGTGTATAAAAATATTTTTATTGATTTCAAAACTATTACCATTGCAGAATTTCCAGGTTGCAAAAACATGACTCAAAGCTTCTATTGAAGGAATATTGCTGATATCACGATTTTCTCAATCTAGCAGTTGCCTTGACCCTTTGAAATTTTTGGCAGCAGCATATCTACATGACTCATTCTGGTGGCCTGAGGGTTAATGACATCATGACTCTCTCCCAATCAACACCTAGCCTTTCTGGAAATATCCTGGTTAAGGATGAAATCACCACCAGCCAATCACTCTTTAAAGATGTTGTCATGACAACCATGCAGGGCCTATTTAAGGAGTTAGAAAAACTCAGGAGTCGAATATTACTACCTTCATAACATATTGTCACACCTGGCCTAAATTCCTGGCTCTGCAGAAAGAGGGAACAATTCCAGATTCAAACCCAACTTATTACAAGTGTTCCAGAGACAAGAGATTCACAGCCACAATCCAGCTACTAAAACTCAAGGCCCGAAAAATGCTTCATCCAAATCAACAGTGATACGAGAAGGCCCCCTTTTGAAGTGATGTATTGTTTCTTTTACTATTCCATTTTCTATCTTAGCACTTTTCTGGGTACTTACCCTTTTTATGTAAATTAACAATATTGAACATTAATGCATTTGTGAACTTCATCAATCTTGTTATTGGCCTAAAATTTCATATTTTTGGCATACAATGCACGAACAGTGTTTATGTCCAGGATAATCTGTAACAAGTTTTTTTGCAATAAACTTTAGAATTTACCACCCATGTCTTCTGTACTGTGTGTACTGCTATTGTTACACCATATGGGAGGGGAGAAAGAAACTGCAAGTTGTACTTGAAAGATTTTTATTGAATAAAAATTAAATGTGATAATTAAAATATCAGCATATATTGTTCTAAACACAAAAGAAGTGAAAAAACATCAACCATAGATTTTCAAATTGATTGATTCATTCATTCATTTTCTGTGACTTAATCCATTTACAGATTATTTAAAGCCAGAAAATATTTTTAGATTGTAATGATACAAGTCTTACTAATTCACCCACAACTGGGGAGAGAAGAGGTGGATTCATAACTTTCCCAAGGGTATTTGTGCATAAGAGAAGATAACAAACCCAACTGAAATTCTGAGCCATTATCCATTACACCACTTGCACATGAAAGCTTACAGAACCTGGTATTCCCAAATGGTCACCCATCTAGGTACTGACCAGGCCCGATGTTTCTTAACTTCAGTGATCATACAGGAACTGTTGTTTCAACACAATGTGACCATAAGCATATTTTTTCGGTGTATAAGATGCACTCTTATTTTGAAGACAAAATTTTGGAAAAATCGCTACACTCACATTTGAAAGATTTTTATTGAACAAAAATTAAATCTGATGAAAGCAGAATGCATTGTTCTAAACACAAAAGAGGGTGAAAAAACATCAAAATAAGAAAATGTTGTCAATGAAGAAAAAGGAATTACTGTTATTTAGTTTGGTACAAAGCATACCAAATCATCATTGCTTTTACTATTGACTTGGAAAGGAAATCAGACATTTCATCCAATATTATGAACAAAGATAATGTCATCTAATAAAAATTGAAATAATATTCAAAGGCTAATTGCATTAAGCACTGATTGCTTAGGCAAATTTCAAAGTCATACTATTTTTATAAATAACACAGATGAGCTAAATTATGATAAACCTATTTAAATATATTTACATATGTCTTGTGTGTGTGTGTGTATATATATATATATATATATATATATATATATATATATATATATATATAAAGAGTGTTCCAATAACTAGAACTGATTTTAAATGTGAATTAAATTTAAGCGCCTAATGATTTTTTTCTTTTTCTTTCAGATTTAACAACTTAAGTCTTTGTCAATTTCAACCATGGAAAGATTAACAATCAAATGTGTTAAAGTTATAAAATTCTATAACAAAAATGGACTTTCAAAAAGAAATGCACTTTGTGATTTTTTGGGCCAACATAATCAACTAACCAAGAGTGCAATTGGAAATGTTGTGGAGAGGTTCAATTCCTGCATGCCATGACAAATAGAAGTGTCCAGATTTTTAAATTATTCTCATGCATTGCAGCAATGTTTTCAGCTGAATGGCATAAACAAGCACACACTAGTGTTTTCACATCTGCCACCGACCCAATTTGTTTGAATTTACGAAAAAATTTTTCCAGTTGCACTCTTGAAACTTTAACATGTTTAATTGTTAATCTTTCCATGGTTGAAATTGCCAAAGACTTAAGTTATTAAATCTGAAAGAAAAAGAAAAAAATCATTAGACACTCAAACTTAATTCACATTTAAAATCAATCCAAGTTATTGGAACACCTTTATATCAAATTAGGAAATCAGCTGATTCCACTACCTTGGTTTCATATATATATATATATATATATATATATATATATATATATATACACACACAATACACAAGAATAGAGGAAGGAATAAAAGATACATGAGCAGATAAAAAGCTAAGAACAAATACCTCCTCCTTTCTTTCCTTTTCTCTGACCAAATTTAATTATTTTTGAGTCAGTCCAAGATGAATTCAGATGATGTTTACTACACAGAAGACAATGGTTAAAAGATTTAACGTAGGATGAAAAAAAATTCATTCCTTTAAATAATATGTGGCAATAACCATTCTACACCTGATGAAGGTCATAAGACCCGAAACCCATGTAGTAAAATATATAAGGTATATAAAAAAAGTACACATTAAAATCAAAAACATTTGTGGCTTTTTCTTCTCTAAAATATACACTTTTCTCTCATTGGAATAATAATCTTTCCTATAAATATATCTCTGAATATGATATATGTATTTCTAGATATCTGAACATTAAGCAAATGAATAAGAAAGTGGAAAAAAATTCTGTGTAACACACTTCATCTTCAGAGTAATGTTTTTGTTGATGGAATTATATGTGTAGAAGAGGGAAATACAAAAACACAATCCCAAGCCATTATCCATTACACCACCTGCACATTCAAGCTTACAGTACCTGATATTCCCAAAGGGACTACCATCTACGTACTGACCAGGCTTGATGCTGCTTAACTTTGATGATCATACAGGAACTGATGTTTCAAAATGATGTGGACATTAACATATTTTTCAGAATATAAGATGCGCTGGTGTATAAGACACTTTTATTTTGAAGACAAACTTTTGAAAAAAAAAAAAAAAAAAATTTGAGAAATTTTTATTGAACAAAAATTCACTCTGATAAAATCAGCCTATATAGTTCTAAACAAAAAAGTGCTGAAAAACATCAAAATAAGAAAATATTCTAAGTAAAATAAAAAAGGCTCGCTTTTATTTAGTTTCAATAAAAAAGGTTCACTTTTATTTAGTTTGGTACAAAACTCACAAAATCCTCACTGCTTTCACTTTCACTTGGAAAGGAAGTAGATATTTTATCATTGGATCCAAATGATGAAAGAGAATGTCATTCAAAGTCACATCCACCATGTTTATGATGCCACATTAAAATGACAATCACTTATTTTTGCTATAGATTAGATATAATCTTCTACACATCAGTTAAGTTCTTGTAGCTTAATGGTTAAAGCAAGCTGGAGTGTTTTTCCTGAGACTCAGTAGACAGACATACATAAGCAAATTTATTTGTTCTGAAATCTATGCTGGACAATTTCACAGGTTAAACACTAATATTTCAAAAATGTAGAGTAAATTTCACATTTTGTTTATCAAAAAATAAATCGTGATATCAGGA